AATATTAATATAATAAAATATAAAAACTATCCGGTTGTAGTTTAACTGCTGAGCTAACGTTAGCATAGCAGTGCTAGCCGGTTGAGCTGATCGATATCGGATCGATATCGGTACTGATTGATTCAAAGTTGTGGACCTTGAGCTTGTTGAGGACTCCGCTGTTCTCCAGGTTCTGGATGAGCAGGTCCCGCAGCTCGGTGTCGTCCTCAGCGGCAGACATTACGAGCTAACTGAAGCTAACTGCTAACTGACAGCACGCCGACACACGGAAGGGCTTCTTCTTCTACGGGTTAATGTCCGCGGACGCAGCGCTGCAGGACGGAGTGTCGCCACCTGCAGGCGGAGTGAGAGCACAGCGCCGGTAACAACACTATTAACACTATTAATGTTATTAATGTTATTAATGTTATTAATGTTATTAATGTTATTAATGTTAAAACAGCTCATCGTGATCCATTCTACTGTTGTTCGCTCACTTTGTGCTTTATTGAGTAAAACTATACAATAAAATAACAAGATACACATTTAAATTAAATATAAAACAGAAAGCAGGTTCATCTTGTGGAAATATTTGATTTAAAGAGTTATTTATTCAGTGTTCTTCAGTGAATAATTGAATTAAAATATGAAATAAAGACTGTTGGTAATATTAAATATATCTTCTCTTCTGGCACTGAGCCTGAAATATTGAGATACTGCAAACATTAGTTTATTTTTACATTTATTTATATTATTTATTTATTATAAATTATTCCCTGACCAACATTATGTAAAAAGGAACTAATTATAGGGAAATTCTTTCATATAAAAGCAAATTTTAATTCAAATAAACATAAATTCATGACAGGACTGTGTCTCTGTTCAGGTGATGTCTGGGTTTCATTAAGAGTTAATTAATGAATTAATGAAAAGTGTAACTGATTCACTGATTTCAGGAAAATGTGTAGAAATGATTTGGAAACAGACACAAAGTTTTGTTGTGAAGGACCAGCATGCACCTGGGCTCTTTGTTTGTTTTCCAACTGAAAAATAAAAACACGAAAACAACAAAAAATCTACTTCTGTTAACGTTTTTTTTAACAGGAATTAGGGAAAAAAACTCATAATTTATATCATAATTAAAATCAAACTCTTCTGTTCTGAAATAAACAAAAGATAATTTATATTTCTTTAGGAAAACTTGAATCTTGAACAAACAAACTAAAACATCCATATTTAATATTATAAATGTTTAGTTTGATAATTTAATTGAATGATTTTCACTCAAATAATAAAACATTCACTGTTTTCAAAAGGAAATCAAGAAAAACCTTAATTTAGTGAATATTTAATTTAATTATATAATTTGTATTTTCTCTTATTTCACAGTTCGATTTGTTTGATTTGTTTTTATTGTGAAAACAAACAATGCTTCAATATGTAAACACAAACAAATACAACAGACATTGAAAATAAAGAGCTTCTCTCTCATTGGTTGTGTATTTATCCACAAATATAAACAACCAACACAACAAACAAACAGAAAAACAACAAAGAAACAAACATCCGTCTGCGGGAGTTTGTTGATAAAAGGAATAAAAGAAGAAACAGAAGATAAAATGTGTTCATTGGAGAAAGTTTGTTATTTTAATAACTTACAGAATCAGAATGAGCTTCCATAGAGGAGGAGGAGGAGGAGGAGGAGGAGGAGGGATTAGAAAGTGAGAGTAAAAGAGGGAGGAGCAGGAGGTCAGAGGGAGAAGAGAATGGATTATGTATTAATGGTGGGGGGCCTCAGTGTCTGTGAGGGGCCCATTGTCTCCTCATCCATCCAGGAGTAAAACACTACATACTGAAGGGAGGAAGAGGAGGAGGAACAGTGGGAGAAGAATAGAAACAGAGGATTGAGGTAGAGGAGGAGGAAGAATAAAGGGGGAGGAGGAGCAGAGATGGATGTGAGGGGGAGAAGAAAGAGGGGGCATGAGAGGGAGGAGGGGGGAGACAGACAGACTGAGGAGGAGGAGGAGGAACAGGAAGAAGAGGAGGAAGGAGCATCATCAGCAGCAGGACACACAGACACACACACAGACAGACACAGACAGACACACAGACAGGCAGCAGGCAGACAGGCAGACAGGCAGACAGACAGTCGGCGGATCACGGAGCCTCCGCCGCCTCCTCTGAGCCGCTGCAGCCGGACACAGAAGCAGCAGACCCGGCCGCACACACGGAGCCATGGCCGCTGAAGAGAGCCGATCCACGGCCTGCACCGGCTCCAGCCTCCTGCAGCCGGTCAGCGAGATCACCAACCTGCCGCTGGACCAGGTAAGACCCGCACCAGCCTCCGGGGGTCCGGGCTCCGGGCTCCGGGGCTCCGGGGCGGAGACCGCCGGCTGCCGGTGGTTCACACACCGCGTTAAATGCGACATGCTCGGCCGGAGAGAGCAGCAGAGAGCCGGGGAGAGGGAGGAGGACAGCGGGCGGAGGAGGCTCACAGAGAGGCGGTGGTTGGTCCAAAATGGATGGAGGCCTCGGATCGGTCCAGGTCTTCACCGATCCGGGTCCATGTTGATGATGGGGGCTCGGTGGAGTCTTTATGCTCTCACACCGGATGTTCACTGTGATCTCATTTAATCTCTGATTGATTATATGGACTCACACAGGCCCAATAATGGAAGATAGCATTCATTATAGACACTGATTGTGTTCATTGAGGGCCAATATCTGATCATATGTTGGCTCAGTGGATCAATATCACTCTAATATTTCACCACATCATCATTAATATCATCACATTTCATTCTGGGATCATTATTCACGTTTCAATCTTAAGCTCCGCCCACATTCACGTGTCACTATTAAAGCTGATCAAATTCACTAAATAACATAAAAATAAGATCAATAAAATATTAGTGATGTGAGAAATGATCAATAAACTCACACATCAGCAGGTGATGTATCAGGTAGCTCCTCTGCTCTGATTGGCTGAGAGCCAGGAAGCAGGATGTTCAACTGATCCATTAAATTAGGTTCAAACATTAAAGCTTCACAAACTTTTACACTTTAATGTGTAAATCTGTTGCTAGGAAACATCTGTAGCGCCGTCCAATCAGGAGCAGCCAGCTGTGTAAACATATGATGCTAAGCTAACTGAGTTATTCACTCATTCAGCACATCGTTGGTAGTTTGAGGTGTTTTTAGTGAAATGTGATTTAAACAATAATCAAACAGAATGAATTCAACTTTCAGCTCAGATATTAGCATGCTAACGTTAGCTTTGTCAGGAAGAACTGCAGGTAAACATTATTTTAATACTTTATTATGCAGAATAATAACTTTATTTATTAACCTTCAAAGAACAAACAGGCATCATCAGCGCATGTTGAACATAACGATGAATCCAAAGAAGAGAGAAAGGGTGAATTTAATGAACTGAAAGGTATTAAATATATATAAGAGTTATAATGTATAAAGAGACTAACGGCAGTTTCTGTTTTGTATTTTTATGATTTAAGAGAATCTCAGAGCAACTTTAGAAGATCCAGTGAAAGTAAAATGTTCCTAGAATGAAATATATATATAATATACACCAAACTGAACATTATTGACATTCAGTGATTATATTGTCTGTAACTGAATACCCTTCACTCACGCACTGCTGGCAGCTACTTAGCTAGTTAGCAGCTAAAGACATTAAAATAGTCTCACAAATATGATTCAGAGCTGGAAACCTCTTTACCAGATAAACAACCTATGCTAGCGTTGACTTGGTGCTATCATGCTACAGGTAGTTTCACAACAGACACTGAACGGATCACAGACTGTCTGTGGTCGTCTCTCTGTGGCTGGATTAAAGCTAATCCAGTTACCTGAGGAATCTGTTATATTTGGTAAACTGACGTTAGCACGAGGCTCAGTTAGCACAAGTTTATTCTGCAGGTTAATAATGAGTGTGACTCACTGCTGGAGCCTCTGGTGGCTGCTGGAGGAACTGCACACACAGAGGACGCTGATTGGTTTGAACTCATAAAAACTGTTTTCAACCAAACATGGAGGATTGTTGGTTGAATGTGTCCATTACTGACACAAGAACAACCTAAAAAGAGCATAATAATAATAACAATGATATTAATAATAATGTGTTTGTCCTCCATCGTCCGGCCCTGACCTCAGCGGTGGACGCAGGAGGAACCAGCGGCACTGGTTGTTCTCCTCAGCGGAGGCGAGCGGCGGCACAGCGTCCGGCTGTAATCGCTCAGTTTACACGGCGTTCATTATTAATGAACGACACATCAACAAGCGTCGCCGGTTTCTGTCCACAGGCGGATCAGATGTTACGCTCACAGTCCCTCAGCGGTGTCAGCTGCCGTCAGACTGAAACACAACACAGCGTCTGACAGACAGCCAGACAGCGTCCAACAGCTGCCTGACAGCACAAACTCAGGGCCAAATAACAGGAAACAAATCTCTTCATTTTACAGATTTCTTCTGTATTTTTTAAATACATGGAAATATTAATAAAATTACAAAAATATCCTGTGAATTTACATCTAATGTAAAATAACTTCAAATAATCATAAAATACTGATTAAACTGTTAAATCTAAGTTTAATACTGTTAATACATTGCTAAAATTAAAAAATTATGTAAAATTAGTGACATTAACCAGAATCAGAATCAGAATTTTGTTTATTGCCAAGTAGGTTTTTACGCCTACGAGGAATGTGACCTGGTGCAGTTGGTGCATAAAATATACAAATATACAAATATACAATTATTCAAATCACACAAAAAATCACACATCATTGCGTAAA